AGCCAGCAAAACATGAAAAAACTATTCTGGAAGCGCCCTCAGCTTCCCTGCCATGCTGGACCAGTGTCTCCACACATTGACTCCAAAAGAGTACTTCCTGCCTGATGTTGTTTCTGTGAGGCATTCCTTCACAGTGAATACAGCTACAACTAATACAACTACCCCTTAGGAACTCTAATACAGTTACCCCTTAGGAACTCTAATACAGTTAACCCTAGGAACTCTAATACAGTTAACCCTAGGAACTCTAATACAGTTAACCCTAGGAACTCTAATACAGCCACTCCTTAGGAACTCTAATACAGTTAACCCTAGGAACTCTAACACAGCTACTCCTTAGGAACTCTAACTGAGAGGGGATGAAGTAGAGAAAAGCTGAGCATCAAAGTTAGCAGGGTTTTTGATTGTTTGTTTGTTTTAGACGCCATTTCTTTTCATGGTTTTATTTTATTTTATTTTACAATACAATTCAGTTCTACATATCAGCCACGGATTCCCTTGTTCTCCCCCCTCCCGCCCCCCCTCACCTTCCCCCCAGCCCACCCCCCCATTCCCACCTCCTCCAGGGCAAAGCCTCCCCCGAGGACTGAGATCAACCTGGTAGACTCAGTCCAGGCAGGTCCAGTCCCCTCCTCCCAGGCCGAGCCAAGCGACCCTACATAGGCCCCAGGTTTCAAACAGCCAACTCATGCAATGAGCACAGGACCCGGTCCCACTGCCTGGATGCCTCCCAGACAGATCAAGCCAATCAACTGTCTCACCCATTCAGAGGGCCTGATCCAGTGGGGACCCCTCAGCCATTGGTTCATAGTGCATGTGTTTCCATTCGTTTGGCTATTTGTCCCTGTGCTTTATCCAACCTTGGTCTCAACAATTCTCGCTCATATAAACCCTCCTCATTCTCGATAATTGGACTCCCAGAGCTCCACCCGGGGCCTAGCATGGATGCAAAGTTAGCAGTTGTACCAGATGCTGTACTTGTACGAAGATAACAGTGATATGCCCTAGCCCTCCTCCGGGAGGTGGCAGCCTAATGAGAAGACATCCCAGCAGTAGTCAGAAATGACAGGGTTCTGTCACACAGAGGTGTGCTAAGCAGTGTCCCCAGAGAGGGGCTTTGGGGGTGGGGCTTGGCTGTGGAAATGGTCTCTCTAGGGCCCTTTCAAGCTGAGGGATGAACGAGAGGGGTCCTTTGAGGGATGGAGGTGACTCTCTGTAGAATGCCTTGTCAGGGAAGCAGGTCGGTCTGAAAGGCCACATATACACGTTGTCAAATGATTTCTCAGCCATCATGAACTTCTGGGAGTGGAGTCTCAGGTCCACAAAGCCAGACCTTGCCACACTGCCACCGTGTCTCACTGTTAAAACGAAGAACAGCTAAAGTCACTGTCTAGTTTGGACCTTAAGTACCAGAAAAACAACAGAGCCCTCCTAAGGCTAACAGTGACCTTTCCACTATGAAACAACTTGGAGTCTAAAGGTGTAGAATCGGAAATAGCTTAGTGCTCAAAGCATTTCCGGTCTTTATCACATGTATTGTTCTCCTTTTCCCCGGTTTTCCCTCTTCCCTTCTTCCCACTTCCTGTTATACACACACACACACACACACACACACACACACACACACACACACACACGCGCGCGCGCGCGCGCGCATGTGCATGAGCGTGCACGCGATTAACGGATGAATACCTAGACTTTAAAATTAATTTAACATGCTTTCCTTCAAGAGGTAGAATCTGCCACTGTGTTTCAGGTTTCCATTGCTCAAGTACTAACAGTTGTGCAACTTCAGCCTTCCCCGGAGACCTACTTCCCCTGCACAACTACTACATAGAGGCCCTGTGATCTAAACCACCTGCTCCCAAAGCGGCAGGCAGGTGTTTCAGGAACAGGGCAGCTAGAGATCACCCAACCCCCTCTCACAGGCTTTGCAAGTGAGGACCATGTTTTAATCCTTTGGAATTTTGTAAGTTTGATTTTGTAACAGACTGCTATTGTCTGTTCATGGAGGCGACCTGCCCATCTCTAAGTGACACCAGGTTCACTAGCGTGTGTACATAAATCTGCACCGCAGCCACCACAGCAGGCTCTTCACACATTTGAAAAATGGTAGAAGACACCATTCACTTAGTATATGAACAAGAAGGCTGGCTGTGAGCCTGGCCTGCCTAGCCTGGGTTTGTCAGTTGTAAGGAGGGTTTTTTGCTGTTTTGCTTTTTGAGACAAGGTTTCGCATATCCTAGACTGGCCTCAAACTCTATGTAGCTAAGGATGGCTGTGCTCCTATTCCTTCTGCTTGGCCCTTCCACAGCTGGGATTACAGATGTGTACACTAAATCCCGTTTTGACTTGTTCCTGCAGCCGCCGCTGGTGGTGGTGGTGGTGATGATGGTGGTGGTGATGATGATGATGATGGTGGTGGTGATGATGATGGTGGTGGTGATGATGATGGTGGTGGCGGTGGTGATGATGATGATAATGATGTGCCACAGTGGAGGAGGCAGTGGCAGCAGGTGGTGGATGTTTTAGTTTAAATGCATTCCCAGTATCTAAACATAAAAAGACTTCTTACGTGGAGATCCATTGAGTCCCACTCTGCTCCTCCTCCTCCTCCTCCTCCTCCTCTTCCTCCCCCTCCTCCTCTTCCTCCTTGTCTTCCTCCTCCTCCTCTTTTACTTTATTCGTCTCTCATATTTTACATCCCGACCACAGTTTCCCCTCCCTCCACTCCTCTCAGCCCCCCCCCCCCCCCCCGCTTTTTTTTTACAATTGGAAAAAGAGACTCTCAGTACAGTCAGGTGGCATGTCCTAAGTCACACAGAGCTGAGGTTACATCCCTGGTCCCTGACTTCCTCCCCAGAATCTTTATGAGAGTGTGTCATGTTGCTGAGTGGCCACAGCACTTGCTTCTTCCTCTGCCCACTTTACCCTCTGCGCCCTCCTGTCTGTTTATGTCCTAAAATCCCGCCAGTGCCCTCCTAGTCTAGTCTGGATGTTACTCCAACAGCCTGCACTTCGTTTCCTCATCCAAAATCGCTCCATCCTTAATGCACTGGTCCTTAGGCTGAATGGGCACATTATCTGATTAAAGAATTTAATAACCTCTGAACTGATGTGTAAAGGCATGTTTAATGTAAACTTAAATACTGTCAGCGTGTTTCATCTTGAGAGAAATCCATATGCTCCCTCTGATAGGAACGCAATTCTCATTTGGCTTAATATGCGTGAATGTCACAGCCTTGAGAACACTTATCCCAGCCCAGGAGTGTGCTGAGATGCAGTCACACTTCATCACCCTCAGGGAAGCATGTAGGAAGTGGTTGTAAGGGCCACGTGACCACCACCTGCTGCTCCATTGAACAGAACAAAGTCTCTTCTAAAAATCTAGCTGACAATGATTAGGATAAAAAAAAAAAAGTAAGATGAATAAAATAGCAGAATGAAGAATTGGGAATTGGGTGAGGGAGAAGAAAGTAGATGGTCGGCTAAGGGTCAGAGAATCATAGTTAATCCAGGTCTGTGACACCCACACTCAAGGTGTCTGCGGAGACTGGGCTCCAGAGAGCTTGGAGAGAGGAGTGGGATGGAAGGACCTGAGGGCCTTCTGGATGTTCTCCTTTTACAGCTGGAGCACTCTGGTCTGGCCCAGCTCTGGGGCTGTGTTTTAATCCATCCTCATTTTCATATGACTGTGGGTAATTATTTTTTTGCTACTTTGAGTTTGGGTTTATTTCCATGGAAACTTTGTGCAGGTATTCCATGTGCCGTTGTTGGAAAACCAAAGAACATGAAAACCCGAAATGTATAGTACTTGTACTTGTTTGTTAGTACTCGTCACACACACACACACACACACACTTTTTTTCTCTTGGGTGTGTGTTTTAAATGGTTTTGCTTCGGGTTTTAAGTCAGTGCCAAGAGCTGATGAAACAGTTCTGAAGAGCTTTCCACCTATACAAGCAGGAGGAGCCGAGTTTGAGCCCCAGAACCCACATAAAGCCAGGCATGCTTGCACATGCTTACAAGCCCATCACTGGGCTTGGAGGGACAGAAAGAGATCCTTGGGGCTCACTGTCTAGTCACCATAGCCTATTTGGTGAGCTCTGAGAGAGGCCATGTTGGTTTGTTTTTAAATGTGGACAGTTCCTAGGAAACTGAACTCGTTTGTCCTTTGACCCCCATATGCTTGTAGACATGTGAATACATACACTCCACATATATGTAGGAATACACACATACTCTACAATCAATGCCAAAAAAGGCATTGTAGTTTGTAAACTCAATTATGTCCTGTATCTTATTATCATAATGGCTTAATAGTTAGAACTGCTTTGTCCTTAGAGGTAAGACTGTTGTTAACTACCGAAGCTCCTATATGTGTCATAAGACTATATATTTCCAGATTTATTTGTGTGTGTGTGTGTGTGTGTGTGTGTGTGTGTGTGTGTGTGTGCACCTCCAGGAGTTTATGTGTGCACTGCATATATTCAGGTGCCCACAGAGGCCAGAGGGCATTAGGAGGCAGTTGTGAGTCATCTGATATGGGTGCTGGGAACTGAACCCAGGACCCCTCGCAAGAAGAGTAAACACTCCTAACTGGTGAGCTATCTCTCCAATCCCAATTCTAAATCTTTAACTAAGTTGACTTTACTATATAGAAAAACAGGAATCTTCGAATCTTAAAGTCATGTATGTCAATATCTCATGCAGCTTATGATTTGCATTTTCTGAGGGCTTAGTGATACCTGGAATGTATTCTCATATGCTTATTGGCCTTTAAGGTATGTTGAGAAAAATGCCTATACAATGGGTATAAAACATGGTGTGCCCTCAGAGAAGGCAGCAGAGAAAAGACCGATGGCCCCTTTGTCTTTTCTTCATTCAGTACAGGGACTGCAATCCTCCTCTGAAGCCACACAGCTCAACGCAGTGGTTGATTTTTCATTTCCCCCACCCTCCCCCACCCCTGTGCCTCACACATGGTTTTTCTCTTGCAGATTCTATATAGAAAGCATCTCCTACCTGAAGGACAATGCTACCATTGAGCTCTTCTTCCTGAATGCCAAGTCCTGCATCTACAAGGTAGGAATGTGCTCTTCCCGTTCAGTTTCCTAACATAATCAAAAATATCAAAATGTTGCCCATAAGGTAGTTTTATTGATTAGGAAAAGTCATTTATAAATTAATTGCTATAAATGAATGAGAAACTGCATGTAAGGAAAGCCACCAGCTAAACAACGTGGCTTCTTCCAATCCTATCACTGTCCCGGCTTTACAGATGTATTCCTCATGGTAGAGAGGTCAAAGCAGCAGAAAATTAACTAGTCACATCATAGCCACAGTCCGGAGCAGGGGGGAAGGACTGTGCACACGTGTACTTGCTGACCTGTGCTCGGTTCTGTTTCTGCACATCATAGCCACAGTCCAGAGCAGGGGGGAAGGACTGTGCACACGTGTACTTGCTGACCTGTGCTCGGTTCTGTTTCTGCACATCATAGCCACAGTCTGGAGCAGGGGGGAAGGACTGTGCACACGTGTACTTGCTGACCTGTGCTCGGTTCTGTTTCTGCACATCATAGCCACAGTCTGGAGCAGGGGGGAAGGACTGTGCACACGTGTACTTGCTGACCTGTGCTCGGTCCTGTTTCTGCACATCATAGCCACAGTCAAGTAGACAGTTAAAGCTGACCATCATACACTCATCCTCTGAAGCTCACATGAAGCACAGGCTTGGGGCTTTATGTGAATTGCCTGGATCCCCACATCTCTATTCTGTGAGAAAGATGAGTCCCAGGGAGACTTACATATCTAATGAACAGCAGAGTCACTCTTTTGGTTCAGGGAATCCTAATTCCAGTCACAGAGTTCAGCTGTGGCCATGCTGTGTTCATGAAGGGCACACTCTCCTCGCACAGTGTACCCAGAGAACTTCAAATGTGAGCATGTCTCTGGTAAAGTGGCCACTGGATGCTTTTGGAAAATTCCAAGGGGAACTCCTGGCATGTGGCTTTATATATCGAAACCTCTGTTTTAGAGTACTGCAGTAACTTACCAAACTTGAAAACAGGAGAGCTGAAATTGGGTGGTGGCTGCTGCTTTGCCTTGGACGAGTTCTTTACCTGAACTGCATAGGACATTTCCATCATTCAGAATGGAGGAGGGCCTGGTGGAAGCCAAGCTCAGCTCTGCAGAAAGACCTCACTTGATGGTAGCTGATGAGCCAGGACATATACGGGCCTGAAACCCAGAGCATGTGGTTGAGAGTGCTTGAAGTTTTTGCTGACTGGTGGGAAAAGACTAATTGTAGTTCCAGGTGCTTTCAAATTTCTTCTTCCCTCTAATCCCTAATTTTCTCATTATAAAGTAGAAAGAATAATTCTCTCCAGATACCTTACAAACCATGGGGGCACCTGATGGTTTTTTAAATAAATGAGCAAGTACCATTTTTTAAAAGTTGAGAAATAATAAAAAAACTGAGCACTGTCCACAAGGTGGCAGACTTGAGCTAAAATAAACGGCTAGCCCTGAGCCTTTTGAAAGGACATTCCGACCAATTAAATTAGTGCTTGGCGCACACACGCGCTCATAAAGGGAAAGGAAGCTGTTTCCTGGAGTTGCTGGGTTCCACTTGGTCATACATGCTGAGCTTGTGGTGATCAAGGAGATTAAGTCCTCAGAAGTAAATATTGCAAATTTCCCAAGAGGAGGTGCAGGTGGCCGGGTCTCCAGAACTGGCCACATTGAAAGTCAGGCGACCTCAGCATCAGCTGGCTTGCCAAACGGAACATGGAAAATATTCCAGAGCCCTAGCTCTCTCTTCCTAAAAACCCATTCTGGAACATGGTCACAAAAGTGACCACAAATGACCAAGGATGAGTCCTCTAAAGCTTGTGTGGACAGAATCTGAAGAGCACCTGTTTAGCTCAGTCATCTGAATATTCTCATTTGCAAACACTGACAGATTTTACTAACAGGGCTTGTAGGTATTCATCTTGAGCCTCAGAACTTCTGAGGAAGGTGAAAGTTTACCAAGGAGGAAACTGGTGTTCACAAGAACTGGAAGTGACCAGACAGCAGTGTGCCCGATGGGCCACATTCAACAACATGTAACAATAATGGAAGTCCGCACAGTTGTAGATATTTAGGTTTTGCTCCGACAGACTTGGGTTCCCGTACCAGCTTAATGTGTCTTCCATAAAATGTCTCCAAGCTTCATTTTCCTTTTTGACTAAACAGAGATATTGCAAGATCTGGCCCACATCTTCTAGAACATGCTCCTAAGACAAAGCATGGAAAGCACTTACTTAGCACTGTGCCATGCCCTTGATCAAGTCACTTGGATTCTGATACATTTTCCTTGGCTACAGTTTTCTGTGCCACCCACGTAGCCCCAGGTGTATGCTGGGACATTAGCTCAGAAGGCAGGATGACTTAATAACTAACTTGTCACCTTGATGCAGCCCCAAGCATTGATTTACCCAGCAGTTTGGTATCAGGTTCCTTGCTGTTTTCTTGGAGGTTGACTCTTACAGGGTTTTTCTTTCCAGATTTGCTTTCTTGCATTTTGTAGACTCCAAGGTGAGCACAGGGCCTTACATGTGTTACACAAGCACTCTACCACTGAGCTATATCCTGCTCTCTATTTTTCATTTTGACACAATGTCTCACTATGTTACCCAGGCTAGCTTTAAATGCACTATATAGTTCAAGCTATCCTTGAACTTCAATTCTCCTGCTTTGGTCCCCTGAATAGCTGGAATTACAGGCCTACACCACCACACTCAACTCCTATGGTGTTTTAGAGCTAATCTGTTCAGGTGAAATAAACTGCTTGCCCCTGCTTTTCTGCAGACCTATTTCCATTCATATTTTAAAAACATTATAATCTATTTTTGACAGGGAGCGGGGTAGCTGGAGAGATGACTTAGCAATTAAGAACACGTACTATTCTTACAGAGGACCCGAGTTTGATTCCCAGCACCCACATAGTGGCTCAGAACTCTCTGTAACTCCAGGTTTAGGAGATCTCATGCCTTCTTCTGACCACCCTGGGTACCAAGTACCCACATGGTACACATACATACATGCAGGCAAAACACTCACATATACAAAATCAAAACAAATAAAATATATTTTTTAATGTATTTTTTAAAGAAAAGCGGGGGAGAGGAGACTGGATTTAATCAGAGTGTAACTCAGCCAGAAGAATCTAGCTAGCATGTGAGAGGCCCTGGGTTCAAACCCCAACACAACACAAAGTGGGGGTAACAGGGGACAGCTTAAAAGGAAAATGGGGGGGAGGGCAGTAAGATGACTGAGCAGGTCAAGGTGCTTGTGGCCAAGACTGGCGAGCTGAGTCTGACCCCCAGGACACACAGTGGGAGCAAAGAACCAGTTCCCACGAGTTGTCCTCCGACCTCCACACCTGTTCACACATCTACACACACTGTAATAAAACAATTGAACTCAAATGGTTCTCAGAGGCTTATTATGCAAATGTACCCATCTCTTCCGCACACATGTCCTGCCCTTTTGAGTCATTTGGCTGTTCTGTCTACTATTTGCCTCTTTAATTCTAAATAAATGGCCCAGTTCTTCCTTGATGTGGCACCTCTCAATTTGTTTAACTCTTCAGAAGATAGACAGGATTGGGATGTCCTCTGTAGCACCTGCACGCTCCCTTCCCTAGTTTTCTCGGGGTAATATCGTACTTTTGGGTGGAAGCCATAATCAACATCAGCGTGACAAGACTAATTCATTCAACCATTGTCCTAGGGCTGTGATTCCTTTTTTTAGACAATGAGTTGTTTTACCTACAGGGATTCGTTACTTTGTTTCCACTTGTTTAGTTTCTGTGTATCCTTGGCTTTTTGCTCACAACTCCTACGGATTCCCAGATACATGCTAGTATTCAATTCCAACATGAGGGCAATTCATCAGCTCTCTCTGGTTTGAGTTTGTGACAGCTGCTGCTATTGATTCTCCTGAAACCTCCCTCCTGGAACCCTCTGCCCTCCTGGTCCATGAACTTGGCCAGCTTTCTGCTCTCTTCGTGGGAGGCAGCTTGCTTTCCTGTCTGGGTCTTTCCCCACCCCCGCTCTGTACTGGGTCATCTGTCTCCTGAATCCTGACTTGGTTGGTTGGTTGGTTTTACACCATTTTTTATACCATGTTTTCCTGGACAGCATCCCTAAGTAAATCTAGAGAAGGGACACCCCGAAGTAAAATGTTTGGGTCCTTGTGGGTCTGAAATGTCATTATCCCCCCGTTCATATCTACTTAGAAGTTTGATTAGCTGTAGAAATGCAGAATGACATCTTCTTTATCAGCTGTTGTTCTAGAAACACCCACTGTCTGTCCCTGTCCATTGTATGTGCCACCCCTGTGCCATCCCCCCACAGCTGGATCTTCGGGGCTTTCCTCTGTGTTCCTCTTATCTAACATTTCAGGAGTGCGGTCTTTGTAGACACATTCTGCCAGGACCTGCTGGGTGGATACTTTTATTCTGGAGACTGTTTCTTCCTGAATTATTTCTTTGTTATCTTCTTTTTCATCCCTAGCCTCTCTTCTTGGAAGTGCTGGAAGTCGGAAGCTAGGGCAGGTTTGTGTCCGTTTTCCATTTCTGGCTTCTTACTCCACTTTCTGGGAAGTTTTTGTCAGCATTGCCTGTCATTGCATCTTTTAACCTTAACACACACACACACACACACACGCACGCACGCACGCACGCACGCACGCACACACACATTGCTTCTAAGAATGCCTTTGCATTTCTGCTCTCTCTCTCTTTCTCTCTTTTAAAGTACCCTATTTTAGGGTCTGGAAAGATGGCTCAGCAGTTACAAGTGGTTTTGTTCATGGAGAGGACCCCAGTCTGGTTCCTGTCACCCACACCAGGCAGCTCACAATTGCCTGTAACCCCAGTTCCAAGGGATCTGACACCTACTGACCTCCATGGGCACATGCACATTCATGGGATACACACATAAGCATAAATAAAAATAAATATTTGAGATCAAAAGACTCCTGGTGTCCATCTCTAATCTCCACATTTACACCCATAATTTTTAATTAAAAAAACT